TCAACTACTCGGTCCCTCTGGGTAGCTGGCTGTGACCAGTTAATTGCTTTTTCTCTTAACTGTGGCTTTTTTTTCTGGCTTTCTAAATGTGTCTTACAATTTTTCGTTGAAAGATAGACATTGTGAAAAGAATAATAGAAACTGATGTAGATGGCATTTATGCTGGAAATGGGTATATCTCATCTTTTAGGCCTTTAATATGAGGGATTGAGTTAATGTAGTTAGGAATTGAGCTGGATTTAGGTTTATTTGTTGTGGTTATCTTCAGTGTATCACTGGCCTCAAATTCCTCTCATATTTTTTGTGAATGTATACTCAGGACATGACTGGTTTGCCAGAAGTTTATCTCAATGTCTAATCCATCTTTAGCTTTAGACCTTGCCTTTGCACTTGCACCTCACCTTGTCTTTCTCCATGCCCCTGCCCTTCTCCAGTGGTGATTGATGTTGTTTGACACCTGTTTATTGCTGCTCTGTTGATGGAGACTAAAGGGATTTCTCTGCTGTCCTGGCCCAGCCTCAGTCTTAGGCAGATTCTGTGCCCGTTAGGTTGTGGGGCTTTCTCAGTGATCCTGCCTGTCACCTTACAGTAGGCAGTCTCTAATAATTTGGGTCCAAGGTGGTTTCTCGTCCCTTTCCTATGCAGAGTGATTTTTATTTTTTTCCATTTATCCATCTATAATGGGTCTTTACCTTTTCCCTAGGGGTGACAGGGTTTGCTGCCATTCCCTCAATAACTTAAAAGCTTTTGTTTTACAAGGGAGAAGATGGGGATGCCCTCCTTCGATCTTGCACCATCAAGGGGTGCTTCCTTCAGTTTCCCATCCTGTTCCCAGTCTTTCTCTTGACCACCCAGTGAGGGTCCATGAAGAAGAGCCTCCAAGTGGGCATGAGCGCCTCTCGTCTGCGCCTTTTGTGCTTTCCCTCTAGGACATGTGTTTTTGTTTCCTTGATGTTGTCCCACAGATCTCTGAAGCATCTGTTTTGTTTTTTTTTTAATCTCTTTTCTCTGTGTTCTTCAGATGAAAAAATTAAAGAATTTCCATTTGTATACCTTTAAGTTCACTGATTTTTTTTTTAACTTTCTTAAACGTATCATTGATGTCATCTAATGAATTTTTCATTTTCATTCTCTTAGTTATGTTCCTGCTGCATATTAAATTTTCATTTAAATTTATTCTCCTGTGGGTTCCTGTGTAGTTTTTTTTCTTCATTACTGAAATAATTTTATTTGTTTCTTTAATTACTTTTCTGATTTTGATCAGCTGTAAACATCTTTCTATTTTGTTTTCATCCTTTCCTGCTCTTTGTTTTTAAATTTCTTATTTTGTTGTTCTTGTTGTTAGGTGCCATCAAGTCAGTTCTGATTCATAGCAACTCTATGTATAACAGAATGAAATACTGCCCAGTCCTGCACCATCCTCATAATCCTTGTTATATTTGAGCCCTTTATTGCAAGCAGTGTGTCTATACATCTCATTGAAGGTCTTCCCCTTTTTCACGAACCCTCTACTTTACCAAGCATGATACCCTTCTCCAGGGAATGGAGCCTTCTGAAAACATGACGAAAGTAGGTGAGACGAAGTCTGGCCATTCTCATTTCCAAACAGCATTCTGGCTGCACTTCTTCCAGGACAGATTTGTTTGTTCTTCTGGCAGTCCATGGTATTTTCAGTATTCTTTGCTGAACACTTTAAAGAGGTCTTTTGTAGCACATTTGCTCAGTGCAGTATGACATCTGATTTCCTGCTGCTACTTCCATGGCTGCAGACTGTGGATTCAAGTAAAATGAAATCTACAACTTCAGTCTTTTCTCCATTTATCATGATGTTATTTATTGGTCCAGTTGTAAGGATTTTTGTTTTCTTTATGTTGAGGTGTAATCCATACTGATGATTGTAGTCTCTGATCTTCATCAGTAAGTGTGTCAAGTCATCTTCACTTTCAGCAGTCAAGGTTGTGTCATCTGCATATCACAGGCTGTTTAATGGTTCTTCCTCCAATTTGTCTTCATGTAGTCCAGCTTCTCAGATTATTTGCTCAGCACACAGATTGAATAAGTATGGTAAAAGGATACATCCCTGGTATGCATCTTTTCCGATTTTAAACCATATGGTATCCCCTTGTTCTGTTCAAATGATAGCTTCCTGGTCTATGTACAGGTTCCTCATGAGCACAATTAAGTGTTCTGGAATTCCCATTATTTGCAATGTCATCCATAATTTGTTATGATCCACACAGTCGAATACCTTTGCGTGGTCAATAAAACACACGCAGGCATCA